ACAGTACTTAATGAAGTCGAACCCACGGCGCATTTCTCTGGGATTGACCAACGCCGAGAGCCTTATCCTTTACTGTCTCTTATCTTATTACAATGTATATGAAAGTGATTTCAGGTTTACGATTCTCACAGAGCTAGGTATATATAAATATAAATAGGGTAGTTGCTGATGGCAGCGTTAGGTAGAAAACTGCTGAGAGAATGGCAAAGCAACGGCGTCAGTGGCACAGTGGGTAACACGTTAGCCCCGAAAAGGGTAGTTGAGGTTCGATCTGGCATAGGATCTAAGCTTCTCAAATATCTCAGCACCATAGTAGTTGCCTTTCACATCATATGCTGTTGTGGAAAATAAGAATAGTCAATAAACAAGAAGTTAACATTGGGAAAACATGTAGTTCAAAAAACGTGTTGAAAAAGACATCTATCCAACTAATGTTAAACATTTAGAATCTTCAGCTTTTTTCTTCGTCTTTTTTCATGTGGACCGAACTTCGCCTATACTGTTTGAAATTCTAACTGTCTTCTAATTTTCCTTCCTGTCCAATAGAATGGAAGTGTTACTGATAGAAACTTTCATCAAATTCGATCTTCTAGCTGTTTCCCGATTTTCACAACGATTCAACTGAGTATTTTATCGATTGACTCATAGACATCGAGATCGATTTATTTGTATTCAATTGGAAAATAAAATAATGAACTTTGTCATCATTTCATTATCCAGTAAAGGTGAGAAACCACAACGGAAAGAATTTGATGAGTGAATGGAGCACTTTGCTTCCTTGCACTATTAAGATTCCTTTGTTCACACTTATACAAAGCGTAGATATTTATGCTACTTAGCGCTATTCCCATTTAAAAACTAAAAAATGGGAAAATAAACCTTCATAAGGACTTTAGTAATTACTGAACGACGCAGCACCATCCTGTCATTACTACAGCGACATCAGGTCATGTCAGGTTATTTGATTGACATAGGAGACTGTTGACAACTACCACCCCATTAGATGACTAAAGTGACCTTACAAACTCGTAAGTCGTTGGTGGTATCAGCATAATTATATCGTAACCAATTCATCATCTCGTCGTTACTCTGATATTCCAAGTAGTGTTGCGATCATCTGAACATATGACGTCCGTCTAAACTATAAATGCTTTCGTTACCATTCTTACAAACACTGCTTCACTGAGGTAACAGCAGTCCTTACTTAAGAATTTACGTACTTTATGGGGTGGGTGGAGCGGGGACGGGCTGGTTGCATGATTCGTAGCTCGAATCGAACGACTGCCCTCGTCGCTGAGGGATCGCGCGCGTGCCGTCGTTGCCGCTTTCACCCCGACCACAACTCGCGTCAATAACCGACCACTTTGCCGTCGGCGTTCGTCGAGTTCTGTATCGTTCCATAATGTGAGTGATTTCTAGATTCTATCATTTATTTCTTGTTCAAGACCGATGGAAAAAACCTCGCTGATTAGTTGCTTCTGCAGAGCTGTTCGTTTTCTCCTCGATTTGTTCCTTGCTGATGAGATAAATGGTAGAAGATTTGTTATTGATCGATCTCAGAAACATACCCCTTTTTCACTCTTTCATTCATTTTATGTATTTATTCGTTCTTCTTTTCGTCCACGATTTCTGGGCGAAACGTTAGGTGAAGTGACTCTGAATGCCTTCTTTTGGCTTGGGTTTAATATCTATGAAGAAAATTCGTGCTAATATGTGGCATTGGTTATCAAGTAAGCACTCTTTTCTCTATGTTTGATATTCTCGTGAAATTTTCAAAGGCACTAGGCTCTCTGAATAGAACGTGGAGGACGTGTGTAGAGCGCAGTGGTCTGGGACGCCGTGCAATACACACAGGATCGACCCTCGCGCACCAAACCCTCCATCCCTCCGGGGTCAGCAAATTGGTACTAGACTTGTCTGGGAAGACAGCAACACTGGCTCGATACATCGGTAGGCCACCGTGAGTCATTCTATGGGCCAATTCTATGCATTCGATCACTTCCAACTATGGTTAATGTAGGTGCTTCCGTCAGGCATTATTCAACGCCGAGAGCGTTATCGTTTATCCTTTATTGGGCGTTTTGTTCATTTAGAGTGGCACGGTTTTCTTTGATTAGTGAGGAGTTATCCTATTCTATATAATCTGCTTCATACTTTATCAATCGCTGTGTTGATTTTGACATTGGCCTTGGCCTTTGTGATGCCATATTATGGTTTCGGAGCGAAAATCGATAGCTGTATGAGTCTCAGTTCAATGTCGTTTTCGTGGAGCAAAACAAGAGACCAAGATAATGTTTCCCCTGTTGTTCGACATCTTTTATTTTACTGCATCAGTAACTTTCATACATTCAACGTACCGCCATTTAATAATGTTCTTAGAGGAATAACAAAGTTCTGTTCCCACAGACAGTAAACATCCTAATTTCACAAAGCGAATGAGAAAGATTTATTGCCTTTCGCAAACACTACTAAGTCGAAGTCCGCTTAGCCTTATAAGGAAATAGAATATTTCACATTGCGTTAAAAACGATTCCTTCGGTAATAGTCTTACCCTTGGATCTGGTTGTCTACAGACGACTGTGGGTGGGGTTGGTTCGTGGTTTCGAACTGCTATCTGTTAGCCCAGTTAAGCTGAGATAATGTATAACCTTTATCTACGGTCCACGATTTTTTTCACGACAGGATATGATGTAAAATGCAACCATAATGATGCTAAGGTATTTGGTAAACTTGGACACCAGACGAAATCAAACCACTATTAACCTTTACGGGGGCTCACGTATTACGCACGACACCACTAAGGTCCCTTGTTCTGCCTTTCTGTCGGTCTTAACTGGGTTTAATGTCGATTTGTGTTCCCCAGATCATTCCCGTTGACGAATGATTGCTAATGGCACCGTTAGATGGAAAACTGGATGGGGAAAGGCAGAACGAGGGCCACAGTGGTGCAGTGGGTAACACGTGACCTCCTGGAAAGGGTAATCGCCGTTCGATCTGGCAGAGAGTCCAAGCTCTGCAAATATGACAGCATCATTGTAGTGAGTAGTTTCTAAAGTGGCGTTCATCGATATGCTAGATCTTTACTTGTACTATAGATATTTTATCGAATTATATGGACGTCATTGGATAAAGTACTTCTTCAAACTCTGAAGAAGGAGAAGTCGCCGAAACGTCAACCATCGAACCACAGAAACAGCTACACTTTCATGTTTTGGTGAATTTTGTCAATTTTCAAGCTGCTAAATGTATTATTTTCTTGTTTATCCGGCTTGCAGTAGTATTGAGAAGCTGTAAATTTTTGTTTAACTGCTTGTTGTCGTTGACTTGAACCGCACTTGATAATCTTACACCTTCTAATTGCTAATTTCTTGTCGAACCACATAATTTGCTTCGTTGTGAGGTCATTTTGGCGGTGTTAATAGTAAAATATGGAAAACTAGCTGAGAGCCAGGCGAAACGAAGGTCCCGCATGGTCTGGTGGTGAACGCGTTACTGCCCGGAAAGGACAATAGTGCGTTCGTTCCCCACCGCAGACACCTGCGGTCCGGAGTTTTCCAAATATCTCAGAATTGCAAGCTCCAAGAAGGGATAGCTCAAGCAATAGGAATAGCTCTCCAAGCTCATCAAGAGGGAATACATATCCCAAAATTGTTGTGGTTGCACTTCACATAATACCCTGCCGTGAAAAATTGTATTAGGTAGCAAATAAAGATTTAACATTTGGTGTTAATAGTTATTCGTTATTTTCCTTGATCAGCAAACATAAATTTGCCATTACGGTATCTGCCAATTCGCCACAGCTGATGTTCCCGCGGTTTCGCTTTTTTTTTTCAAAGTCTGGAAAGGTTAAATTGACATGGAATCCACTCAGTCAAACACAATCATAACCTCAGCAAACAAAGTTTAGTACATAAATGCTTATGTTTATTTGCATAGCAAACAGCTTCTGTTAAACACTCATCGTTTTGTTGCTCTTAGCTCCCCCGATTATCATTGGAGACCGGATGCACAGAATTTCATATAGGTGAAAAATATGCCTGACTCAGAACAGAGAATCGATCAGAGGTGTAGCTGGAGATCCTTCCATCCACTCCTGTTTATAATTTATTTTTAAATTTTGGAACTTCGAAAACTCTACAGGAGTTTAAAGTGTTGATTTTTTTTGTGCTCCTATGCGCAGCTAGTGGGGTATTTGGTTTAAGTTTACCTACTGGATATTCTTTCATACGAACACAGAGTGGCCTACTCGTTTCGCCAATGTATTCGTCCCCCAACCTTTTACAAGAGATCAGATGAACTGTACCCGAGCTCACGTAATCATCACATCTACCATTAGTGCATATCATGCAATTCTGCGTTGTACACAGACGCGGTCGTGCAGACGGTTTCGAACTAGCTAGTGTCTTAGGGTGTTCGGTGCTATTTCAATTACTACTACCGACTTCTCTAAACCAGCTCTTTGTAAGCGATGGTTTGAAGCTCTGTTTATTTCATTTGAATAGAGCAGGACCCTATTTCCAGTAGACTTATCGCTTTGTAGCCTAGTTTTCCCTCTAGACCGGTACCAGGTAGCTACCACTTCGTAGCCATTGGAAAGGGCTATTTTTCATAGGAAGTCAAGACATTCCTCTTGTTCTGTTCCTGTACACACACTGCCTGCTCTACGAAACATGTTTGTCACAGGTGCCCTTTTAGTATACGAAGCGTGAGAGGAGAGGTAATGAACCAGTACGTTTCTTTTGGTTGGCTCTCGTACCATTTGGTGGTGTAACCATTTTTGAAGAGGTTGGTTTGAACCTTTAAGAACGGAACCTAGTTTTTCTTCCGGTTTTGTCGGTTGAAATGTTTCCACTCTGTGTGTTAGTTCTGTCGACTAAAAAAGGATAAAGCTCTCAGCGTTGATCAATCCCTGAGGGATGCGCCTTGCGTTCGACTTCATTAACCATAGTTAAAGGTGACTGAATGCATATCTGGTCGACAAAGGTACTTGAGGCCTACCGATGCATCGAGCCAGTGCTGCTATTCTCCCAGAGAGGTCTGGTACCAATTTGTCGACCCGGAGGATGAAGGGCTTGGTGAACCTTCGGCGTAGGGATCGGTCCCATATGTTTTGCAGGGCGTCTTCGACCACTGCGCCACACGCGCCTTAGATGCAATGGTTAAGTATAGGTAATAATGATAGTTGTTTTCAGGTCGTCTGAAACTTGCAATGGTTCAGCTGATTCGCAGCTCACTGTTCCCATGTTGAACGGTGAATGTCCTGAGTAATTTTCTTTCTTTCAATAACGGTTTTGTTAAAATGGAAGGGAGTGCACTAATTTAGCAATAGGGAATACAAACGCTGCAGGAAAAAATTAGAAAAGTTGGATTAGAAAGGTGAAAAGTAAATAATTTGAAATGGCGATTCCTCTTTCATTTTTTCGTATTTTCGCTTGTCCATTGAAGCTACAAGAAGAAATGGAAAGCTGGTTACATTTCATCTTTTTGAAATCTTTTGAAGGAGTTTCTCTTGTTTTTTTTTCCCAGGCGTTTATCCAAATTTTCTTTGGCCATTTGACATTTGCCACTTGTCGTATCACTACTAGATTCTTTTTCAGCTGACCGCGATAATGCCTTAGCCCAGCTTTCTCAAATGGCTGTTTCATCGTGGGTTCCCACTTTTTTTTATCTATTTTTCATGGTTTATGTTTTTATAAGACTGAAAACCAACGGTTTACCGCCTCATCGTGGCTAGTAAGCGTTCCTGGGTGTCGGGCTGCAGTGTACAGCGGGGTATTCATCCTCTCTGCATTTTCTCCCAAGTTGAGGAGTCCGGCATTTCTATCGGAAAATCCAGCTAAGAGTAAACCAGTTCCAAGAGTCACCATCGTCCTGATACCAATCCAGTCGCATGGTGGTATATCTCCCCCTGATCGATAAGGGCGGTAACTGCCTATAGTGGTGAGGACCTGGGCCAGACTTTCGCCTAGTCGACCCTGTGACTCCGGGAACCACGATGGCTAGACCAGCAAAACTCCAAAACAATGGAAATTATGCTGGAGCCCGAATAACCAGTTAAGACCGGCAATACAAGTATCCAAGTATAAGACTGAAAAACAAGATCCACTCAAAGTTACCTAGTGTTTGTAAACCATTAACAGTGCTTTATGTAGGGAACAGCGAATTGCTGACTTAGAAAAGGAACTGTTGTTAGTGGAATCAGGCCAACATCCGATGTTACTGGAGAAGCTGCGTGAGATTGAGCAGAAACAGGCCGATGAACTGGAAATGATTGAAATTATGTATGAGGTGGATTTTATTATTATGTCTCATTTACGTTGTACGTTAATGTTAATAAACTTGTAATACTAATGTCTAGAGGGAGAAAGAAGAAATTGAAAGGAAATTCCAATTGGAGTGCGCTACAATACAACGAGAACTGAAAGAAAGGGAGGAGGAGTTGGTTCAGGTATAATGCAATAATAAACAATCTAATATGAATGCGTCGTTTTCTTGTTCAGCTATCGCGAAGTTTTTAAACACCATACATTTACTTCCATAGAAAAACAATACAATACAACACTAGCTGACGTTTCGGTAGTATCGCCTTCTTCAGAGCCGCTTTTTACGTGACTTCCAACGACGAAGTTTAGAACAGCTGATTATAGTCGCATATGGTTGATGACTCCATCTCCATGAGTTTTGTTTTGCTGAACAAGAAAATGACACATTCATATTCCAATGCCGAGGTTAATTGAAAGTCGGTCCTGGGAATAATCATATATTTTAACTTATTATTTACTGCGTACTCTTTATAACGGTAGGGTATATATTGCGAAATATAACTTCATTAATGCTGAGATATTACCTGCATACACCTGCGGTCCGAAGTTTTGCAGATATCTCAGCATCATTGAAGTTATATTTCGCAATATATACCTTGCCGTTAAAAAGAGTAGGCAGTGAATAATAATTTGGGTTTGATTTTGGCTCCCCAGATCAATCCCGCTGACGGGTGATTGCTGTGGCAAAGTCGATAGAACTAGCTGAGAGACAGGCGAAATAGAGGACCCGCATGGTGTGGTGGTGAACGCGCTACTCCCCGGAAAGGACAATAGCGCGTTCGTTCCCCACCGCGTACACCTGCGGTCCGGAGTTTTGCAAATATCTCAGCATAATTGAAAATAATCATATAATAGTTGTACCCTGCCAACAAAAAAGAATAGACAACAAATAAAAGTGAATAAACTGTGATTTATGCTGCAGCGCGAGCTTGGTTGTGTCCAATGCCGATTTGTGCTACCCAAATCAATCTCGTTGACGGGTTATTGCTAATAGCACTAATACAACATGGCTGATAGAAAGGCGAATCGAAGGACCCGAAAGAAGTGGTGGTGAGCTCGATAGCCCTCGGAAAGGGTAATAACGAGTTCGACCCCACCGTAGACACGGTCCGGAGTTTTGCAGGCATCTCAGCATCACTTTGGCCACAATGAGCTTTAGCTAATTGTGGTCTTGCGCTTATTGAATTAAACTGTATTACATTTTTTTTTACAGTCTTGATATAACCACTCCCTGTGTCTACATACTACTGGAGGTGTTTCCAACCTGTGCCACTAAGACAACTCGAGTGTCTTCTGCGTGCTGTCATTCTTGCCTTACTAGAGTCCCCTCAATCTAGATGACCACCTCAGCGTATGTGTATCCACCGAGTTGGGATATTTTTTTTGCTGCATGGGTGTCAATCCGAGTGCTAAGTAGAGCGAAACTTACCTACTGACCGTTATTAAGGTCTTGAGTTTTAGACGTGCTACCACTGCATTGTAGCTAAGGGTTTTCGGCGTAGTGAACGTGCTCATTGCCTTTACAGAATGTCGTCGAGTTATCTAGCACCTCTGTTTTCCATTACCTCGTTAGTTATCAGCTATCTCAAGATCCCATAGCTCCAGTTGCTCATGAAATCACACTTCTAGAATGAAGTTCTTTACTCCACTGTTTTGCCGAGCAACTAAGGACTATGTAGATTTGTGCCTGAATGGGGTTCCATTTGGAAAAGTACCTTTCAACTTTGCCATTGCAAGACTGCGGACCGCGGGTGTCTGCGATGGGGACCGAACCCTGTTACCCTTTTCGGCGGCTAACGCTTTCGCCACCACACCATACTGGTCCTTCGTTAAGCTTTTCTCTCAACCGTGTTTTATAGGTGCTATCAGCAATCACTCGTAAAACGGGATTGATCTTGGGAGCACGAATCGGCGTTGAACCCACTTAACCTGATGCTGCAGTATAGAGCACAATATAGTCCCTTTTCTATTTACTGCCTATTCTTTTTTATGCCAGGATGTGATGTGAAATATATCCACAATGGTACTGAGATATTTGTAAAACTCCGGACCGCAGGTATCTGCAGTGAGAACACGCTATATCGAACACGCTTTTACCCTTTGTGGTGGTGAACTCGTTAGGCCTTTACGTAAAAAGAATGTGCAGTTAATAGAAAACTGATTACTCTACCATTTTCATTTACATCGCAATTCTTCGTCGTCCAGTAGTGCCCTTCAGCATGCAAGAGGCGGTAATCCATCGGGGTGATGATGTAATGATGTTATATTTACTGTACTTTACATTGATTTAAATGTACTCTTTAGACTTTGCTGATGGAGGTGGATGATCGTATACGATTCATTGAAGCTGAAGTGGCCGCTCTGGACGTAGCCGGGCCTGCTTGTCCGACATTTAGCATGAACAAGAAATGCCTCCGTCGGTATGTAGAAGAGCAATGAACTAGTATTAGAATTATAATATGATTAAGACTGAACGAGCGAAATGAACGTTTTAAACATCGTTTTCATTATTGTAAATCGATCTGTCGAGAAAAAACTACTTAATGATTACAAATTCCATTTGACGTGGTGTAGTTGCTGGTATAGATATTCAATTACTTTTTACGTTCTTGTGGAATGGGAGTTTTCTTGTCAAAGTATTGGAGGAGTTGCTGCAGTTGTTTACACATAGTCCATATTTTGTCTCTCAGACGCCCTCACGATCCATCGACGTCTGCAGAGAAGAAGAGAGTTCGCACAACAGCACCAGCAATCATACATCTGTTGCCAGAACATATTATAGCAGAGGATGTTAAATTGGTGACGAATAGTGATAATATTTTTTTGTAGAATTTAGTAATTTTCTAGGATGTCGTCATCTGCTGGTTTAAAATTTATCCTTTTTTGCCACCCTGTTTAGCCCACCTTTAAACGAAAACACCGATAACATGCTAATTGTGCTTTGTTCACCATTTGGGTGAAAACTCTGTTAGGTTGCAAGTTCAAATTGTCTTTAGTTAGCACTTCTCGAGATCTATGACTCAGTGACTTTCATGGTCTTCGTTTCAAGACTTGATGAAACCAAGTGGCCATGGTTTTACTCTGTTCGTTGACACGGTATGAACCTTGACTTTAGTAAAATGGCTGCAAAACCGCATGTTCAGTGGGGTTTTTTTCTTTATTGGTTCTTTGCTGCTGTCATAAGCTTGCAATTCGTCGACTTCCTCTTCCATAATCCTATAGCTGATTTTTTCATGTTTTTGAGATTGATATTCTTAGTTATATTATGAATGGAACTTGTAAGCACCTTGCTTGCTTGGATGATCTATATGAAGGTTTTTGAACCTCCGCTATGCATCATAGTTTGACACCCAGAAATATTCCAAAGCTTGAGATATGGGTGCGAATGGAGGAAGACAGAGTAGTTCTTGTTATGAAACAGGCTGTTGCAGCTTGCCCCGGCTGAAAGTATTCCGAGTGTTGTTCAACATCACAAAGTCAGTCTAGACAATGGAAAACTAATTTACGAAGGGAAAACGTGGGATTTTTAACTATCTTCTTGAGTTTCGGTATGATTTATGCGCACTTTGGAAGTTTTAGGTACCAAAAAGGTCAAGCTCTAGTAGTACAGACGGAGAACTATGGTGCATTCGCAGGAATGATCCTATCAATTTGCGAGCAGTACATACAGTTTCGATCCACTGTTCCTGGTTTGTAACTATATAGTTGTTTTATTTTTCATCACTTGCTGCTCCAAGCTTTGTATAACAAACTATTCCTTAGGTGAGGAATGGTTTGAAAAATCTACTTGGAACAATAGTTCACTTTTCATTTAATTCGTTTCCGATGGCATAGATGTAGGTTGGACTTTATGTCAACAGGTACGTTTCTAGGAGACACCCGACAAGTGCTGGCCACTATGGATGATCTAGAAAGCGGTCGAGTGATTCTCAGAAAGAAGATAGTTTAACTCTAAGCAATAACTCCCGAAACCGACTATCTATTAACCTCGGTATTGATCAAATAGTTCGTTGTCGTTTTGATTACCAAATACGTTGTTATTTTACACTTTTGTGCACAAAAAGTCGATATCTCGGCAGATTTCGCCTTCGGAGCCAGGTAAGATCATTATCCTCGTTAGGGTTTGTTGGAGGTTGTTATCCTCGAACAATATATCCATGCAGCAGGTCTCACTATCAGCTACACATGCAATTATCAGCGGGCAACTAGGAGTTTTATTGACTAGTCATGTCGAGGTTAAAGGAAAGTCGGTTTTTGAAGTTGTCTTACTCTATTTAAGAAAGTTATGTTATACATATCTTAATATATTGTTTAGTAGTACATTATGTGCATCCTGTTCTCTACTCAATACGTGTTATGCTATTGCTTTACGTTTTTTTGGTCTCAACACATACTTATTTGTAACAAGCTCATGTTAGCTTACCAGTGAAATGAAGTACATAGTTATTGATTTTCTGACTTTTTGTTCTTTATTCTTTTTTGATTTTACGATATTATTATAGAAGATATCTTTGAATTGTTGTTGTTTTCCTTTTGCATAAGGAGATACATCTTTGTGTAAATAAATATGACGTTTCTCTCGTTACTTCTGAGGAGCTAATTTCAAGAACACGTGTGGCGCAGTGCTCGGAGGCGCCATACGACACACACGGGATCGGTCCCCGCGCCCTTGACCCACTAAGCCTTCCGGTGTTGTCAAATTGGTACCAGACTTGTCTGGGAGGATAGGATCACTGGCCCGGTTGTACATCGGTAGGTCACCGCGAGTCATTGTAAAGGCCAAATATGCATCCAGTCACCTCCAAACGTTACTTAATGAAGTCGAATTCATGGCGCACCCTTTAGGGATTGTTTAATCACCTCCAAGAATACTATACATTTTCTACACTTTATAGTATTATTTGTACGTGAACTCCCAATTTTTGTGTGTGCAAACTCTGGCCACCTTAGCAGTTAGGTGCATTTGATGCTTTCCGTTTGCTGGTCTTCAACCGGGCGTCTTTCGTCGACGTACTTGCTCCTATTTCAACGCATCCGATATTTATTTTTGATACAGTTATTTTCTTTTCCACAGTTTTGGGGCGCGTGTGTCGCGCTGGTTGGAGGCGCTCTGCAACACACACGTGGAACAGATTCCCGTGCATATGGCCTACCAAGCCTTCTATCCCTCTGGGGTCGGCAAATTGGTACCAGATTTGTCTGGGAAGATAGTAGCACTCGTTCGATACATCGCTGGGCCACCTCGAGTCATTGTAAACTTCAGATATGCATTTAGTAACCTCCAACAATACTTAATGGAGTCGAATGCATGGTGCACCCCTCAGGTATTAATCAACGTTAGAAGCTTTTTCCTCCTTATCCTTTTAGTTGTTTTTCATCAAATTTCTGATGCTTTTGTAATCGAGTGGGATACTTTACAGCTATAACGAAATAAACGCGCAGACCCTTCGTGTATTTCGAGGTGTCGATTACGAATGGATGGGGAGAGTCAAAATAGTTCCTAAGAGGATACAAGTATCCTCATGAACAACTACGTGATGGATAAGTCAGTATGTTTCCAATTGTAGACTTATATTACGTGGTTCATATGTAGGGTTTACCCCTGACAAGCAAGTGACGCGTCCAATGATAAATCGCGAAGCTTAGAGTAAATCCCGAGAACCACCACCATCCTGGTATCAAACTAGTCGCATGCTGGCAAATCTGATCCACAAGGGCGGCTGCCTTTATCTGACAAGTATCTCAGATTGCGTCAAATCTGTCTGCTTTAAAATTTTACTCTGGAAAATTCCGAGGTTATATCTTATCCTTCTGATTCCAAACTTTATCCAAGAATCCTATAAATATCTTAAGCTGTACTTCCTTTCCAGTTCATTTTTCCAACGTGTGGTTCCTATAAAGATCATTTTTAGTTGTTCAATTATTATTTTTATCAATGTTCGAGACATAAAAATGTGCAAAGGATGCATATTGATCCGATCTTAATAATAATATTGTGGACCATAGAGCTCCATTTCGCAAGGTCATAGTGTTTATAGCGAATTAGCACCGTGATATTTAGTAGTTCGAATCAGTTTTCAGTGTCGAATAACCACAATTTTGCGAAAGCACGCTCAACTTCGCGCGAATTTGCCGCGCGAGAGTTTCTGTTGCTGCCGCACCTCAAATCTCAAACTCGAACTCAGGTAATTCAACCGTTTATAACAGCAATAATGCAGCAACAACGATGTAAAGACAGCAAAACAATGCAAACGACAAGACGATAACAGGGTTGAATAGGCGATGGTAAGGCCACGAGTGAGAAGTGACCTTTGAAATAAGAGAATAGGTTTGCCATTGGCAGGATTAGGACTCAGCCGCACTGGAATGGTAAGTAGGTGAAGTGGTGTAACAATAGCAACCGTTGTAAAGAATTCATACAGAGCGCCACTATTTGAGATACATGCTAGAAGCACCATAAGAGAGGTTCGAGAGCTGATAAGGCTAAAAAACATCAGATTATCCGTTATTAACAAGGGTGGTGAGTCTGCAGTGATTCCTCATCAGTTAGATGTTGAGATAACGAAAAATTATCTCGGAGATGCTTCCCTTTATCGGCCATCATCTGAAAAGGAATTCAAAAGTCAACATCGAGTATTGAAAAACGAATGGGTTAAAATGGGAAAAACAGCTGGCTCAAAACCACCAGTCCTGTTTCAAATGTCCTAAGAGCGCGGACGAGATGGAGGCTTTCGTTGTAACCGTCCTTTATACAAATGTATCGAACGAATCCGCTATGCAAGCCCTCCTCAAACTCCTTATGCAACACGAAGGAGCAACAAACATGTGCATGTAATATTTGGAAACTGACTTTCCTTGAACCTTGGTATCAATAATCAATATGTATTCTTTTTTTCATGAGCTGACACGAGGTTGATAATGATATTTATTCATTTTCGGCTAACGTTTCGACGTCTTCGTCTTCCTCAGAGCCGATGATCCGAGTCGATGGTCCATGCTTGTTGTTCGTAATGATAATGTCCGGTGGTAACAACTATGTCCACCATCAGCATCGTGTATAAAAGGGCATCACTGAGCAAGGATGCCTCATTCGAAAAGATGGCTCACTGAGGAAGGCCTGACTCGACACGAAGGCGAAACTGCAACGTCGGGACGAACAACAAGCATGGACCATCGACTCGGATCATCGGCTCTGAGGAAGACGATGACGTCGAAACGTTAGCCGAAAATAAATATCATTATCAACTTCGTGTTAGCTCATCAAAGAAAGAATACAAGCATGTACATGGCTTCTCGATTCAGTAATTGATGGCGCTCTTAAAAAACTGTGTAAACTGCTAAATCTTCAGATGGTCCGGGAAATATTATGCATAAATGAGAGGATTGGTAATGGTACAGCGATTAGCACTAAGCCCAGCCATTACATGTATGTCTAAGGTGGAAGCACCAGTAACAGGATTCCGGCCATTACTCTGCTATATGTATATAATATACACAATAATGCAATAGTATATAATACACTTTATATATATATATATATTATATATACTTGAATACTTGAAAGGCACGTCCTCACTGTGCGGACTCCAGCATAATCCCCATTTTTCGGAGATTTGTTGGCTGAGTCATTGTGGTTCCCTGGAATCCGGAGGTCAGCCTGGCCAAAGTCTGCCCCAGTTCTTCAACACCACAGGCATTGGCAGCCCTTGTGGATTAGAGAGAGATTTGCCACCATGCAACTTTGATAGCAGGATGGTGGTGGATCCTGGTGTTGATGTACTATATATATGTATATATCTGTGGGTGAAGTGGTACATATATAGTATATATAGTATACATGATAACTCAAGAAAGTTATTGAATGAACAGTCAGAGTATATCTAAGAGAAAGAGATGGAATACTGGCTTCCATTTCTGGACGTTCATATTAACCTATCCGAAATCGGCCGCAGTACGAAGTGGCACCGAAAGCCAAGTAAAAAATACGTACTGGAAGCTGTAGCTCTTGGGAAAGGAGTAGGGAAAAACCACACCCCAAACGCTAATTCCAGCAAGAACAAGGTCCGTTTATCATGCCTTTCATCTCCAACGAACGATTTAAAACGCTGCTTAAAAAGGATCGGTTTATAGAAATTGGCAGCAATGATTGAAATACCACCGAGTAGTATAAAGCGCCAGTTATTTTGCAGCCGCCTGTATGATCGTCAATGAACAGTATAAGATTGCATAATGTACTCTAACGGTAGAGACGGTGATTGAATGAGTTTGGGTACAGTGTACCTAATCTCTTTCCAAGAGTGGGGAACGAATACACAAAAGGGCAAGCCACTGTGAAAAAACACCTATTCGGTAAAGTTAATGTGAAACCAGTACAAGAAATGTCGCCACCCTCGCACAGGAGTCTGAAACATCAGCGCGTGAAACCCTTGAAGTGTTATGGAAAAATTCATGAATCCAAAAATGAACCTCAGGAAAGAATGCCTCACTATCATGCGTGGTTCACACAATATCTCAGAATGAAATCTTAATGTGGGAGAGGCTCATTACCTATCTATGTGAACTCTATGCGGTTGATCTCCTAGTGGAATACTCAGTGGAACCGCTGAACTTGTGACGAAGCCAGTTTGCCTTCAATGCAGGAGGTTTCGTGCTTTTTCTGTTAAGGTTACCGAGATATTCGACTGACTAAAATGCACTCAACTTTACCTTTTCAGCTCTGAAGAAGTTGAGATCCACCGTAATGTCATATTTCTACGAGTAAATATTAAAGTAGCAACTTTCGTGTTTGCTAATCAAGAAAACAGCGAACTAGCGAACAGCGAATTGATCACTGTTAATTCATTAACAACCAACAACGATGACACGAGGATTGACAATAACTTTAATGTGTCAATGATGGAGGTCTGTGAGGTTCAGTTAACATTATTCTACTCTATGCAATGAACGGACGAGATCAAGCGGGATGACAAAGTGGTGTGGTCGAGTGTTGGCGATCACTATTCGTCGTCAGAAGACAAGTGACACTGCTATAGGGCGTGATTGGTTTTCGGCTAACGTTTGTACAAATTCATATCTTCACATGCAAAGAAACTACAAAGCGTCTTAATCGTTGGGTTTTTTTTCCTTTCCTTTTTTCTTTCTACCGATCGGGGCCATTGGATTCGGGCTCCCCAGATCAATCCCGTTTACGGGTAATTGCTGATAGCACTGTTCGATAAAACTAGCTGAGAGACAGGCGAAAAGGACGCGCATGGTGTGGAGGTGAACGGATTACTCCCCGGAAAGGACAATAGCGCGTTCGTTCCCCACCGGAAACACCTACGGTCCGGAGTTTTGCCAATATCTCAGCATCATTGTGGTTGTCTATAGTGTTTTTCAACGAATTAACTGCGTATGTGTGATCTTTAGAACTAATACTTACTTGTAAAACTTTCCATCCATTACGCTGTGTTCGAAGAACATATTCCATATTTTCACCCCGTGAATTGATACGTGCTGTTCTAAACACTAAAAGTAAGGTAGTAGAAATTAAACTTTCCGGTATCCTGTAGCGCTGATATCTAGTCCCTACTCTCAGTGGACTTTTTTTTTTACCAACGGTGAGATTTAGAAAGACAAAACTTGTTAAAAATTAACAATTTTTTAAATGATTGCGCTGAAACAATGTTGCTATAAAAGTTTTATTCAGCCAACGTTCCGACGATTTGATACTCTTTGGAGATGAATTGATCCGAATTGATGGTCCACCGCGATGTGGGTGATCATTAACGCACCCAGTCGAATCCGGTGGACGGAGCACCGCTCAATTGAGGAATCTCACTCGGAGATGTCCTTTTATATGGGGCGCATTTGGCAGATTCCCTTCATCCAATATTGGCTGCAATTTAGTTGGCAATGCGTTTTTTAACAATCGGTATTTTACGCATTTATATCAACCTCGTGTAGACTCAACCATGTAAAACTGAAGATATTATTGAAAATTATCGTACCGTATTCCATAGATAAGTGAGCATGATAGCCTGGCTTTAACTGCGGTGAACAAAAAGGTGCAGTCGGGCGCTTCTCGGACTTGCCGGTATCCTGCTAGGACACTTTGTGCCAAAACCTCAACACTGGAAACCCCAAGTCCAAACACTAAACGTATTGGAGAACAATCATTTATTGAAGCTTATTTTCAGTTGTTTCCAAGAATTGATTTAGTTAGGCATTTCTTTCATCAGGCCTTTGATTTTCAAAATTTCCTTGATTGGGAATTAGAGCTATCAGAATCCCTCTCAGAAGTACAAATAGATATTCATCGTCCTTTCGTCCTTTAGGAACGGCTAGTTGCAAAAGTGAGGCTAAATTCTGTGAAATCGTTGAAAGCTTACTATAACTTAAACATTCCTCTATAGAATTTACTAGAAATTATTTTACAACTACGCCAGCCAACTGTACCTGGTTTTTCAATGTCAGTGGGTCCTACTACGCTAGTCCACAGTTACGGGGCAGATCTACATTAGATATGTTGACAAGCTTCCAACTAAACCTCTTCAGCTGCAGAATTAACTGGCATTACTAGTTTTTGGGGGACGTGTGCACAGTGGTGGTTACAAGTTCGCTCAGTATACAACTGGATCGGTCACTGATTCAATTTCGCGAAGCGAGCAAATGAGGCCTTCCATCTATACGGGTTCCCAGAATTGTTACCATACCTGGTACCATTGGAACACATGGTGTATAGGTAGGACACCATAAGGCTTCGTATAAACCAAATATTCGTGCAACCTCCATGATGCATAATAGAGTCGAATCATAAGGCATTGCTCGAGGGATTGGTCAACGTCGAGAGCTTTCTCCATTAGCACTTTTACGCGTTTTTAATTTATTCCAGTAGCAAATATAATACCCTTGTGAGAGTCTGTCGGAAAGGTGGAGATACAGCACCGCCGATGCGATGTCCAGTATACGAAATGAATGATGTACATCGCCAAAGTCGAGCAAACCCGTTATCTTAAATTCCAAAGTTTTTTAGAAAAATAAAGTTTATTTTTCAAAGTAAATTTAGGTACCTTCAATTTTCCATCCTTTTTGCAAACGAGAATATTTGTTTCGTTGAAGTCAGAATGAATAAGACATGAAATTGTAACACAACAAAATATGAACCATTGAAAAAAACTGTATCTAATGAATAAAGGTGTTTACCTAATACAGGTCGTTCACCATTGAGATGATTTCTATTGCTTCCAAAACATAGGCTGTAGTGAATAAGATCTAGAAATCTGTACCTGTTTCATTGTGTTCAAAATTATTTCCTATTCGGTCATCGAACTCTGCCAAGCAATCCCTGATTAACTGCGCTTCATCAGTGGATATCATCGAAGCGTTCAACTGTAACTCCATCTCCTTTAGAATACTTCGTCGATAGGCCACTGCGATAAAAGGAACGTGGGCAACTGACACTGAAATTATGTGTAGATGATCTTCAACCAACACAATGCCAGGATAGGCTTCAACTGGTAAAGTCGTGCCATTCGCAGTCCTTTATTCTAAAACCGGTATGAGGTTAATGAGAAGGATGAGGCTAATGTACTGCAATCTCTTATGCGAAAATTTTTCAGTATCAGCAGACTTGGAGAAGTCTAAGTGATGAACGACTTCTATAAGGAAATTTGGTTGTACATCCACTTCTATGTTCAGATATGAATGAAATCAGTCTAGAAATCAATCACTTAAGCAAAATATGGGTGAAAAATACAATGAACTGACATCCTGAATTATCAACCACAACGTGGAACTTCGCCAAAAGTCTACCGATCTCTTGTACAAGTTCAGGCTCGAGGTTGAAGTTTTCGAGGTTCGCGCCAGGAAGAACCTCAAATACCCGCACAGGCAGTTGAACTATAAAACGTTGAAAAACATTACACCGTTAACACAAGCACCTAAACATAGCGGCAAAAAATGGCAGAAAGATTAAATAAGTGCAGCAGAAATCTACGAAATGTCGATCTAACCACCTTCGTCGGCTACTACCTCCCATGCCCAATCACGTCCATCGAGTCTTTTGATGGTTCTCGGACACGCGATCCCGTTTTCATTGAGAATTTCACAAATCTTTACCTGGAAATCTGAAAACTGTCTATTGAGTTTGACATCAAACACTTTAAGATAACATAGATGTTGAGAATTTTTAATAGTCGATGTATTCATAGACGATAAAGGGTAAAGGATAAAGCTCTCGGCGTTCAACAATCCCTAAAGGGTGCGCCATGGATTCGACTTCATTAAGTATCGTTTGGAGGTAACTGGATGCATATTTGGCCTTTACAATAACACGCGGTGGCCTACCAATGTATCGAGTCCGTGCTGTTATCCTCCCAGAGAAGTCTGGTATCAATTTGCCAACCCCGGAGTGATGGAGGACTTGGTGGGCCATGTGCGCGGGGGTCGATTGCACGTGTGTGCTGCAGGACTCCTCCGACCACTGCGCCACATGAGCCCATTCATAGACGATAGTCGCGTAAAACCAGAAAAAAATATCCCTGCACTTTATGCTAGTAAGTAAATAACGAAAAATGCCTAGAAGCCAAGAGTGTTTATGCCACGATGATCTTACATCATCATAGTTTCTTTTTTAGTAAACATAGTAGTTGATATGTTAAGTTCTTGACTAGATATAAGATACTGTCTTCAATTTTAGTGAAAAGTCTTGTAGAGCAGTCTCACCGATGTTCGCATCACTGCGAGCTTCTATAGGGTTCGTCACTTTTAAAATCGCATGGGTTGGTCCGCCATTTTCCCATATAACGTCCGACAGTAGAAAATTACAGTCTTCATAGCCAGTGAGGTCTGTCACATGAGCTAAATGAATGTGCTTTGATTAGGGTAATGCTGTGCTGAACACTGACATAGAATTAAACGCCATCTTGACCAATATCCATCTCCTGCTTACACATGAACTCCCAATTACAGAGGTGCTCAATTCACGGTTCATTTTTTGGCCAAACGGAACGATTTCGTTAATTCGATTGTGGCAGTTCAATCTCCATAGTAAAAACCGCTCTGAGACGTAGCACTGTGATTCACAATTTGGGTACGAAAACTAGACATGATTAAGACATGATCTCTTAAGCCCAGTAAATTTTTTTAACGTCAGGAGATTCTAAATATCCTCTTAAATTCAGTAAAGTCTTTTCCTCATAATGAGATCTTAACTTTGAGTAACTCTTGGCCGTTAGTCATCGGAGTGTTAAATATTTACAGGACAATGACAATATCAGGGCTACTATCGCTAAAAATTGTCTCAGTACTCAATAAAATACTCAATAATCAAGCAATCCTAACATGTGAGCCCATGAGTAGTGTACGAGTTAAGAGTAGACAATGGCGGGAGTTCCGCCATAGAAGTCATTGTTCTCGGTGTTTTTATCCCTGCAACATGGTTTCCTACACTTTTTTTAACCGGCGTGTCGGTATAGGAAAGCTCAACTCTTTTCTCGGAAGTATATGAAAAACGCTTTCGCAAACGAGTTCATTGACCGGTAATTTGACTAGCTATTATTATTTCAATTCTATTCACAATAGTTAATGATAGTAATTATATAGAATGTGCGAGTATAAAAAATGCAGGAGACCCAACATAAGCTGTGAAACATTTCCAAATGCTCACACCAGTGTGCTTGTATGGTAGAACAAAGTGTCATATAGTAAATAGTAACATGCATACCACTTGTTCCCATATAACCACAGAGCAAATTTTTTTCTACATAATTCAGTGGTGCTCTCAATCTGGTCATCGCTCCTTGCACCTCGATATATTATCCTGTGTCATCGAGGAAAGATCACTTCAATAAAGACAAAAAATTAGGCGCGGTAGCGTAAGTGCTGAAAATGAGTATAGCCTAACTATTTCATAATTTGGGTTTTTTAACCATCACTGGATGTCTTTGAGCTTATCTAGAAGCAGATATTTTAACGAAAATCTTCAACGAATGATCAGATTTGGATTTGTTGACACAGCCGTGGTTTTCCTGAATGCCTTTATTCCTGAGGGAATTCCTCACGGAATTCCGTTGCGTGAGGAACCCCAAGTTTCTTTTCTCAACAATAAATTAAAATGTTCCATTCCACTCTTCGAAAATGATTTCGGTATGGCGATGTAGAGGGTTAGGTTAGTTCAAAGGGCATGCTAAAATATTGTAAGCTGGCAAAAAATAAGACCATTCTATCAGAAACGTCTAGCATTTTACCATTAGATACTTTTCCGGATTAATCTATTACAAACCTTGAGTGATGCCGTAACTTGATTTCAACAAGCGAAGAAGATTGTGAGAATCAGGTTTTGGGGCTTGAGTGATTTCTTCGAAAGTGTACGATTCCATAGCCAAACGAACGATTAAATCTCGAATAGAATTAATTAGAAACCATTTTAACAATTATTTTAATGTGCCAATGAGAAAAGATGATCTCGATCTCCTAACATTAGTAAATCGTGTTCAGCATAAGAAATTAAAGGCTAAACACTTTTCATAGATATAAGATATACAGCTATAAAAACTCCAAAGTTAATAGCTTTTGATATAAGTTCAGCTATAAAACGCTGCTTAAGAAGGACGGGCTTAGAGAATTCGGTGAGCGTAGTTGAAATACCACCGAGTAATCTTAGGCGCCAGCTAGTTCGTAACTGCCTATATGACCGTCTATGTGCAACTCAAAATTGCATAATTTGCCCCAGTGGTAGAGACGGTGATTGCATGAGCTCGGGTATAGTTTATCTGATCTCCTGTAAGACGTGTGGTGACGAATATATTGGCGAAACGGGTAGACCCCTCTGTGTCCGCATGAAAGAACACCTAGCCGGCAAAAATAGACCAAATACCGCGCTAGGCACGCATAGGACCCAGAGACATAACGGGGACAACTTCGAAGTATGTGTCACGATCCTCGCACGCGAATCAAGAGCACAGGCGCGAAAAACTCTCGAGGCATTCTGGATTAATTCCAGAAATCCGAAAATGAACCGCAGGGAAGAATGCCTCATTATCACGCGTGATATAGGGCAGTATATAAAACTGCTTTTCTGATGTGAGGGGCACATTATACTTCCATGTGATTTCTGTGCGGTTGGTCTCTACGTGACATACTTAGTGGAAACCTCATAGGAAGCGGTGAGTGTGCAAAGCTGTGTTCAAAGTGATTGAAATCTTGGTTTGGAGTTTCTTTGTTTGGTTATGGAGGCGTCTGGCCGAGTGAGTTGCTATCAACTTGACCTTTCCAGGCTCTGAGGAAGGCGAAATTCGCCGAAACGTCAGCTTAATCGTGAACAAAGAATAATAAGACCTTGCGTTTGCTCAACAAAAATACGAAAATTACTTTTCATAGATACTTGGATGGTCTATCTTCGCCGGTTGTGCGGGCCGAGCGTAATTTCTACCAGTTTCTCTGTTGCGTAATCGTCGTCCATGGTGCTGATACGTTTCGTAGATGGTGACATCAGGAAGGTCCATTCCTCAATCCTAAAATTGTTGCCATATACGAATGCAAATAGATTACATTAGCCATAAACACGTCCGCCCATCATTTGAGTGCTCTTCCAAGAGGATGCTTGCAGTCTCTTGGAGTGCACTTCACTGCTGTTTTCGTCCATCTGTCATCTGGTCTCCTTATTATGTGACCGTCGCATCTGTATTTCACTATTAATGTATACTCTCCTGGATCCCCAGGATGGGATAGGTTTTCATTAACCGAACTGTTTATTCCGGCTTGGCGTTATGACCGCTGGAAGAAGTACTGAATAGAAAAGTTAAATTCGGAGTTTTAGACCCGTTAGTTGATCGGTAGCTTCTTTGAGTGGACCCGAATGTGCTGCTCATGGTGTACTCCTTCTTCCATCTAATTCCTTCTTCATATTGTTCTCTATGATCACCGATCCCATAAGGTACACATACGAGGTAGTTTTTGTAATCCAAAAACCATCCAGTTCGATTTTTTCGCCTTCGCACTATGGGCTTTTTACGAAATAGTTCCTCGTGCTTTGTGCATTCAGCTAGTCTCCATGTATAGGGCCACTCCACTCCTTGATCAATAGAATTGCATTGGTTAGACCAAGGAGTAGATACTATGCCCGACAGAATTATATGACTCATAACAGGATTTGCATGTGGTCCATGCAGCAGAGTCTTTGTGGGAATAGTGTTTGTTCAAATGGTTGTGCATCATCCAAGTTTTTCGCTATGCTCAGAACGATAACCTTTGTGAACAGCTTGTAGAGTACACTCAACAAGCATATTAAACGTTTCTTACGAGGATCGCTCCGGCCACACTCTTTCGCTAGTATCATCGGGGACGACGTCTTCCGCAGATCTGATAATTCCTCTCTTTGAAGGCAAAATATCATGTGGGTTTCGAGACTTACACATAATTTGTAGCTTCCATCTTTAAGAAAATTGGCAGTGACCTTATCGGATTCTGCAGCTGGGCTTCTGTTCTTGTTTCCTATGCCAACTCGAGGTTCAGAGAGTAGTCTCATCAGTGGGAATTTCGAGCTTCAAAGATTCTAGAACGGAAAACAGATTATGAACCGGAAAAGATTGGTATAGGATCTCTGCGCTATCAATAGCAAATCATGGTAGGATAAAGTGATGGTCTCATCTTTGTTAATTAGAAAGATGTATACTGCACTGTATATATATATATATATATATATATATATATACAGTGCAGTATACATCTTTCTAATTAACAAAGATGAGACCATCACTTTATCCTACCATGATTTG